TTGCAGGCAGATATGAGAGAAGAGCATTGTAAAAAAAAGAGCACAGAGCAAGTGTGAGCACAGGCCTGGTGTCTGAGAGGGAAGATATAAGTTGTGCTGGACATGGGAATTTGGGCTCTGAAGGGGATGGGGTGAGACACAGCTGGAAGAGTTAGGAGGGAGGCACACTGTGAAGGTCTTTAACCGCAGCCATGGAGTCTGCACATCATTTTGGAGGAAGTAGAGGCATTGCTGGAATATTTATGAAGTCATACTGAACTCAGTTGTCTTCCTCCTGCTCCCAAATTTGCCCTTCCTCCTCCACAACCATGTTCACTTAACACCAGCTCCAGACAGCTCTGGCCTCCCAGGCCAGAATCCTAGATGATATCCTTCTTCCCTTCCTTTCCTTACATTCAACTGGTCATCAAGTCTTATAGATTCTATAGTCTGAAAGTCTCCACTGAAGGCCCTGACTTTACCACAATGCAAAATGTCAATGTAACAAAATTGCACTTGTACCCTGTGAATGTACACAAATAAAAAATAAATGGGAAAAAACGAGGATCTCCAGCAATGTCCCTTCTTTTTTATCCCCAACTGTCACTACCTTTGTTCAAGATCTCACAATCTCTTATCTGGAATAAATCAGTCACCTCAAGGGTTTCCCTACCTCCAGTTCTCTCCACAGCCAAATCCATTCCTATAGCACCTAGCATGATCATTCTAAATCGTAATTATTCATACCCCTTCTCAGCTTAAAAAGCCAAATAGTCCCCCAGTACCCTTAAGATAAAATAAAACTCCCTTCACCTGGCTTATATCCTTTGTCATTTTTCCAGATTCAACTCAAGCCTTATCTCCTTTGGAAGCCTGCTGTAAATCATTTCTTCCCAGGGTACAGTCAGGAGAGCCTTATGTGTACCCCTAGGGTGCCTGTGACAACCCTCTGTCACAGCTGGGCAGGCCTGTTTCTCCCAAGAGGCTGTGAGCTCTCCAAGATAGGAACTTTGCTGTACTTAGGTTTTTACTGGGTATAGTACCTGGCATGTGGATTCTAAAACCCTGATGACCTGACTCCAGCTCTGTACCCCTCACTTCTCACCCCTGAACCCTGGATTCAAGCCATTCCAGGTCTCTTTTCTGCATTAGTATATGCTGCACAGTGCAAGCTGTGACTATGGTCACTACTCCCTTTTGTTCCATTTTTTGCGTGGAAAATGCCTGTTTTTTCTTACCCAACCTATGCTCTTTTGTACTTCCAAAGTGTTGTCATATCTCTCTCATAGCACTTAACACACTGGCACTTTGGAGGGCAAGAACCTTGGTTTATCTTCATGGAACCTTTTAGAACATAATAGGTGCTAAAGAAACTTTTTGAATAAATGAATGAATTGGTTGGTGCTAGGCTCCTTTGCATCTGTTCTGATTTCTGCACTCTAAGGCACAAGAGGCAAATAGGGCTCCTGTCCTCATCTTCAAGACCTGAAAGTCTGTGGTGTATACTTTAAAAGCATCAGTTTCAGTTATGTGGCATTTCTTAGCCATCTTCCCAGTGGAGTTGGTAAACACCAAATGCAACGCTACGACTGACATTTTGGTCACAGAACCATTGTTGGCTCAACCCATACCTTGCTTCTTCTAAAACATTTTCTAAATAGAGGTCAAGAACATGGTCTTTGGCTTCAGATAGCCTGAGTTTCAAAGTAGGCTTTGCCACTTACTGACTTTTGGACTTTTAGGCTTAATTAACTCACTTGAAAATGGGACTAAGATCGCAAGCCATAGTTATGAGAATTCAGCCAGATAATGCATGAACAGCACCTGGCACATGGAAAAACTCTCAACAAATGGTAATTATTACGCTTAACATGTCTCCGTACTCTGGGGTAGCGCAGTCGCCATAGGGAGCTCCCGAAAGAGAAAGCTCAGCCTAAGGGGGTGGATTCGGGCCTAGGACGGTGATGGCGACGATTGGACCGTAGTATCGCCAGGCCGCATTCCGCTCCTCGGGACCCAATTCCCGGGCTGCAGCCTCTTCCGCGGCCCCCCGCCCCACTGGAGGTCCCAGGCCGTGAACGCAGCGGGGAAACCTTGTGTGGGCGGAACGCAAGTGCAGTGGTGGGAGGCTTCCGGGGGAACCACACGGGCGACGGGTCGGCGGAGGCAGAAAAGCGCCGGACGCCGGGCCGATCATGGACGCTTGACAACCTGCGGGCAGTCGCCGGGAGGCCGAGCCAGCGACTAAAAGGACCAGGAGGTGGCACGGACAGGTAGGGGCTGGCGAGAGGGCAGGCCGCGCGGGGCCAGCGCGCCAGGCTCGGGCAGACTGTCCCGCTTCGCGCCAGCCGCCAGGAAAGCCAGTGGCCGTGCCGCCCCGCCCCCGCCTGGGGGAGCGCGCCCCTTGGCTCTTTACTCCACGACGGCGGCCCTGCTTGCAGCACGCCGCCCGCCCAGAAGTCCACCCCAGCTTGCGACCCTCAGCTTCAGTGCTGTGGCTGCCCTCACTCCTCCACCTCCCAAAAGCTGCCCCTTTGCCCCTCTCCAGTCCATCAAAATAGCGCCCTCCCCCCCGACAGGAATTTATCTCCGCTCTGTCTTTAGCCTCTTCCTCCGGTCTTCAGAAGAAAGCGTCTAGAATCGTCTCCTTACACTCTGTGACCTCACAGGCTTTGCTCCTTAGGCCGAGATCTTTTGGAGGGACCGAAGTTTCTCTCCAATACCCTACCCCTCTCTACCCCCATCTCCTTCCATTCAGTCTCTTGGCTGAAATCCCCATCTGACTTTTCACACATGTCCGCTTGGAAGGGCGGTTTTGTTTCTCTGCTCCTAACCATCACCTACCTATAGTCCTCCCCTTCTCCTCCCCGCCTCGTCTTCCTCTCACTCTCTCCTCTTCTCCCTCTCCTTTTCCCTCCTCAGAACCCTTTGTTTCCTAGCACTTTTTCTGTTTCTGACAGGACCTTTTTAGGTAACCCTAAGTGAGGCAACATGCTTATTTCTCTAATTCTGTGAAAGGGCTACCCATCTGTGTGCCTGCCTCCACAGGAAAACATAGGGTTGTTTTTTTGTTTTTTTTTTTTGGCACTAAACTGTCCTTTAAATTGTTCTTTGCTTCACTCCACTATATGTGTTTTCCTTCGTTTCATTACACTGCCCCAATATGTATTATTCTTGGAGGAGAAATCTCTTCTTAGGTGGGACTCCTATAGAGTATGCGGTGTGTCCACATACACTTGACCTGTAATTAGACTACACAATTGAGAGACCCTCCTATACCTTGTCTTTGGACTGGCAATACAATGTCTTCATTGTTTTCCTACATCTTTTTATTGTTTTCTTGAGGTTTTGTACGAGTTCTGAAGTCATTTGGTAAAATGTCACGTATCAGGAGGAGGCCAAATAGAGGATTTTTCCCATGGACTTACACGTGTATTTTCTTAGTTTGAATATGTTGCTGTTTATCTTTCAGAATGATTTCCCCCCTTTTCCTATGCTTAAATGACTTATTTGATTAAATGAGACGTCTTTCATGTCTGCTTTTTGTGTCTTCTTTATCTGCATCTGCCTATAGATGGGATTCTTATGACACAGTGGGAGCTGTAACTGATTGCTTTTGCTTACATCTGGTGCCTTGTGTATGGGCAGTATCACCTGTTTCTTAAGCAGGGTCTATAAATGAGGTGGATATAAAACAGCTACCGAAAAACTCCTGCGTGTTTCTTTAGATCCTGTTCAGATTTAAGGACTTAGAAGGTGTTGCTTCTGGGAGAGAGGCAGATGGGGATGAAGTGACTTTCACAAAGTGTATTTCAAACCTCAGAATTGAGGATGAGATCTCTTAACTCCAGGTTGAACAGTACCTATCTCACAAAGTGGTAATTGTATATGGACTCAGGAACTGTTTTTTCTATATGAACACTATAAAGTATTCTTGTGTCTGATCCAGCATTAAATAAGCATAGACTTTGCAAAGGAGAAGGAAGAATGACTGACACACTTTTCTTCTGGACAGATTTCAAGGCCAGAGAATGGCAGGTGAACAGAAACCCTCAAGTAACCTCCTGGAACAGTTTATTTTACTAGCCAAAGGTACCAGTGGCTCAGCTCTCACTGCTCTCATAAGCCAGGTGTTGGAGGCTCCTGGAGTATATGTCTTTGGAGAACTGCTAGAGCTAGCCAATGTGCAGGAGGTAAGAATGGTTTACAAACAATTTCCCTGTCTTCTTTGTTCTAAGCTTTTCTGTGATTCTCCAGGTTTCCAAGGAATTTCAGTGCTAAAGTATCACAAACCTGTGAGGTACTCTGTTGAGGGAGAGATGGGAATTAGTGGGGCAGAGGAAGAGTTTAAGGATGATATCTTGGGCTCCTTTCATTCAGTATTTTCATCTTAACTTGGGTAAAATTAGATTGGATTGCCAATAACTGAAAGATAGTAAAAAAAAAAAAATCAAATTGATCCTGATAAATTAGAAAAGTAGTGCTATAAGCATGGACTGATGTTTAATAGGGGTAGTTTCAGGCATTCTTAGGGACAAAAAAACCTCCAGTGCAGTGTAGATCAGGAAGATTGGTCAGGGACATACATAGCAGAGACTTGTTGTTGGACATGAGATGGACACAAATACGAGTATATTGTTCCTGCGGAAGAGGGCAATGTTGTGCTAAAGTAGACATGTTAGAAGATGTGACATGAAAAGCTGGGAAGTAATCCATTTTGCTTTGCTTGCTTGTTTGCTTGTTGGCATTAAAGCCTTGGGTACCCAGTTTTGGTCATTGTGCCTGAGAAATGAGAAGATCTGTTGAAGAATGACCAGATGGAACAGAGATGTGAAGCAACCTATACCTTTCAACCTCTACTACCCACTTTTGGATGCATTCATTCGTTCATTCATTCATTTATTATTTGAGAAAAATCTGTGAACATCTTTATTGCTTTTTTCAGGGAATGGTGCTCAGAAGTTTTTGGTGCATTGGTGGGGCAGGTCCCCTTCCTCTTATCATCATTGGCTTCTGGCTGTGCAGTGGTGCTGGCGCTGTAGATGTCCACCATGCACAGATTTGGGTGGTGGCAGTCCTTGCGGATCATATGCTAGATGCTGCTTAGAGTGATCCTGGTTTTCTTGTTAGTAGTGGTTTGCATGTAGGAGATGGCCATCTTTCACTGGGTGGTTCATCACCTTCATGACCAGTATGACTCCTTTGCTGTTGGCTGCCAGCTCCACACCCACAGCCAGTTTTAACAGTAGTTGCAGTGAATCGGCCGGTTGTAACAGAAGGAATAGTGGCCCTCAGGTTATTAGTCTTGGTGCTGTATGTCTGCTTATTCCTCTTGATCAGGAAACTGGAGCAATTCCCCACAGGCATCCATTGCAGATGCCCACACATGGCTCCTCTCTGTGCGATGGCCAGAGATAAAAAGAGCCACTTTTACCTTTTAATTGTAAATTTTTGTTTAACGTCAGTATTGCTTGCTAAACTGGCTCTGTGAGCATAAAATCTGTTGTGCTTACCATTGTTTCCTTAGAGCTGAATACATAGCCTAACACACAGTAGGCTTTCAGTAAAAATTTATGAGAGGTGGAAAATGAATTCTATGAGGGAGATTTGAGAACTGGGTTGAAATGAACTGGGTTCATTTTTCAACAGAGGAGATAGCCAAGGGGTAATATGTTCGTTCAGGTTCATGACAAGCCTTGAATGAATATGCCAAGTGGTTGTTTTATAACTGTGGAAGGTTGGCTAAGAGGAGACAGATGAAAATTAAAGCCAAAAGACCTTATTGAGTTAGGCCAGTGGGAGAAGTTTTGGAGTATTTGCTCTCGAGAAAACAGTCTGTTCCAGCTAGTTTTGTAATTGTCTGTCTGAAAGATGGGGGCTAGATTTGATGGTCTTTACCACGTCTCTGCTACCTCTGATTCAGGGATCTCAGGAGGTTCATAATAACCTCAGAAGGTAGATTGAGGTATTAGGATACTGGAGTTCTCATTGGGGTGCTTGGCAAATCGCCTTTATCTTCCCACACTTTGTTTTTTCCATATGTGAGCTGGGAATAAGCAAGTTGCTGTTCAGTGATCTGAAATTATGGGTGCAGTTCTTGGAACCTTTTTTAAAAAATGGCTAAAATTAAGTAGTATTGCTATTGTTGTCTGCAGAATTCCACTTGTTATTCCCGTTTAGACTTTACTGAGTTTGGTAACTTGGAAGAGTAACAGGAGCATGTTTGTGAGTCAAGAAAACCACCCAGTTAAGGTAATTGACGGCAGAACAGTTCTGGGCAGAACAGTGGCTCTTTCATTTTCCTTCTACACATGGCTCTCTGCCATCAGTATCAGTAAGTAATTTTAATGAAAATTTTTATTTGGGGCAGCTTGATATCCTGGTTTCCTGTCCCAGCCTGGCTTTCTGTCATACCTTATGCTATGCTAATCTCTCCCAGGGTTCATAGTCCACATGTAGTCCTGAAACTTGGAACCAACCCTAAGCTTTGTTCAGTTTGGGTTGATAGTGGTTCATGCTATACCTGTCAAGCTTGTATGTAGACAGGGCTGCTTCCGTCTTTGTTTTAATGCAAAGGGACTCCTGAGAAAACTTGAACTGCTTCCAGTGCTTAATGCTTAATGCTGTGTGTGGTGGGGCTGGAGAGAGCGAGAGAAGCAGTTACTTGGGCATGCTATGTGTAGTATAAGACATAATCCTAAGTGAGAAAAATTAAATTTGGGGTTTTAATAATCTTATTTATCTTTTCCTAAAGAATCAGAGTTGGAAGGGACCTCAGGGACCAACTAATCAAACAGTTCATAATAAATGACCATGGCGTCTTTAGCACATGATCACCTGTTCCCTGTTTGAACACTACAGTGATTGGTAGCTTAATCTGTGGTGAACTTTTTTTTTTTTTTTCCCTTCTCAGCTTGCAGAAGGAGCTAATGCTGCTTATTTGCAGTTACTGAACCTGTTTGCCTATGGAACATACCCAGATTACATAGGTGAGTTGGTTAAGATTCTTTAAAAGACTTATCTTAATGATGTTGCTCAGTTTGGAGATCATTGAGGTTTGAATATAAAGCGTGGGGGTGGAGGATTTCTTGACCTGGCTGTTTCCCATTTTACTGTGCTCTGTAGGTAAGCTCACCAAAGAAATTTCCCTCTTGCCTTTTATTTCCCAGTGGGTAAAATGAGAACTGAGTGCATGCTTATCGATAAATGTAGGCCTTGATTTTATTTTCCAGATGAGATTCTTTTTTTTTTCGAGATGGGGTCTTGCCCTGTCACCCAGACTGGGGTGCAGTGGTGCTGTCATAGCTCACTGCAGCCTCAAACTCCTGACCTCAAGCGATCCTCCTGCCTCAGTGTCCTGAGTAGCTGGGATCATGCCCGGCCCAGATGAGATTCTTGAGGACTGGTATTTATAGGGCACTTGGAGTGCTGTGAAGTGTCAGATACCTACTTGTAACATATCTCAGTGTTTTAAATATTATCAAAATAATATCACCATATTGAAGAAAATTTGGAACATAGTTTTTTAAAAAGTCACTTATAGTCATACCTCCATTTAACTACCATTAGCATTAGGGCACTGGACTTTATGCTTGTGTTTTCTATTACACAGGTGTAATTAGATTATCCAATTTTATGTCTTTTTCCTACTTATTTGATAAGCATTTATCCATATGTTAAGTCTTGTAAGTCTCTTTTGTAGGATATTTGAGTCATTTTAAATTTGAATCTTAAATATGAGGAATGAGATACTTGACTGTCCAAACATTAACTTACCTTCCACCCAAACCATTTTTTTCTGGCTTCCCTAGTTTTTTTTTTTTTTTTTTTTAAGTGGTATGACATTAGCCTGATATTCAGGGGGTTCCTTGCTATATCCCTGACTACTCACTGGTCACATCTGCTTATTCTATGCTGCTGTCAGACTGGACAGTTTGCCGCTTCCTGATACACATTTTTTCTGACCTTTGCTTTATTCCAGTGAGTGTGTCCTCTATTTCTATCCTCACTTATTAAACAGGCAGCATTGCACAGATTCTGGAACCAGAATGCCTGCATTTATATTCTAGCTCCATTTTCCTAGTTGTGTGTCCTTTGGCACATTAAATAATTTTATGTGCCTCAGTTTCCTTATCTGTAAAATGGGACTTATATAATACAAATGTATTTGTAT